ATAATATAATATGTTTATCAATAATAAGGAACTTCGTTCCAACCGAGTTCCACGACACTCACGCATGTTTTTTTTTACTATATCGTTTACAAGTGGCCAGTTCTAAAAACTTTCAGTGTCGCCCTCGTATACACATATCAGTTTCTACAAGTGATATCTATTAATATGAAATGTAACTTATACTTACAAAATAATTAATAGTTCCTAGACAAAAAAAAAATAGAAACATATAGCTCGAAAAACCGACAACCGATTGGGAAAAAAAGCCTCGGGTGGCAGCCTCATCCCGGTAAGCGAAGTGTAGAGTGGTTCCCCACTATGGGAGTGACGACCTGGTAAGTGATGCAGGAAGTCGATGGATGCAGGCTCAGGACCATGCTTCGTGGCATTCCTTCAGGGAGATTTATGTTCAGCAGTGACTTAAATTATTACGATTAACTTGTTTTTTTATAATGATTGAACTTAATTTAAAAAATATAACTCGCGTTAAATTTTGAAATAAATTTATTGTACATAGTTGCTACAATAATATGTATTACTGTATACTTTTATGAAACATAAATAGGTAAATATAATGGTGAATGTTAGTATTACAAAATTGGACCGAAATATAGATCAGTGATTCGTCAAGCTTCGACAGATAATATACGCGACTGGAGAGACCATCGTATTTACACTGCAATAAGCGAGCTTAAAATGAGAACAATACGTATTCTTAATAAAATAACAACTAAAACAAATGATAAATACTTTTACAATAATCTTATATAATACATGTTTAACACTTGTCTTTTCACTAATGCTAATATTGTAATTCATATGTTGAAAATAATCTTTCAAGATGTTCTGTCACTTTTAAATAAAATTTCGCCTTATATCTGTATTTTCTTTTAAATTCATACAACATATTTTTTACAATATCTAACCCTAATGCATAATATACAACATTCACAATGACACTATGGCCGATGGTACTTTTAATATATATGTTTAAGACAAAATGCGTACTTTAATAAAAGAAAATAAGGAATGCATAATAAGCATTTCTAGCGCCATTTTGTTTTTCAACGTGTTTTGTTTCACTTGAACTTTAAAAATAATTGCACATTATCTCTAATAATATAGGTATATAAAAATACATACATGAGATGCTTCTATTAAGACAGGAAGTAAATTTATCTGTGCCTTTAATGAAATTTATGTTGTATACTTTAATAACTTACATAGAATGTAGAAAAATTGTTCATGTAATCAAAGCTTTAAAAAGAAAATTACACCAATTCGCCATTTTCGTTAAAGAAAATAATATATTTTATTTCCTACTCTTTAGGGAATTATTATTAACAGCAAATATTTTTGTAATCCATGATCATTTAGTCACTTAAAGCAGTACTACCTAAAATTATGCCAGTTATGTATATTAAATAATTTTTTAAATTTTGAGGTAGTTTCTTATTTAAAAATAGCTATATTCCATATAAAGGGGCTTTGATTAAGCAAGTTAATAAGAATTATATAATATTCAATAAACATTATAAATTTTCATCCACTAATTCGTTATAATAATGTGACAAAATAGTGTCATTTGAGGAATGAACTAAACACAGCTTAATATTTGCTAAGAAGTTAGGTTTTAGCTTATTCATTTAGATTACTAATGAAACCTGATGGTTCTACCGAGCTCTGAAAATATTTGCCAACATGCATTTTTTAAAACGTACTTTCATTAATGTTATAAATTATTGGGTTTTCAAAATTCTATTATCATACTATTTTGTAGGGCATATCATTTATGTTATTTATTCATAGATAAAATACAACACAACATAAACAAATTAACAGTTGTATGAATAAAATAGTTCAATTGTCAGGATATAATTATTTATAAGATGGATAACTTTGATCATGCGATCCAAAAATCAGCCCTAGTCTACGTCTACAACGCTTGTACGACAGTAATAATGCCCCTAACACGGACTATGATTATGTGTAGCCATGTATATATTATATGTCGCAAATGTTAAACATTTATTGGTATGAGATTAAAAGTAGCTTGTCGTGGAATTATATGATGACCGCATTAGCAAAAAAAAAATACAAAGATTCTTAATTTTAAATACGTCTTTATTTCGGCGGCATAACTTTGCTCACGTTAATTGCAGAGTACAAGTAGCTATGTATGCTCAGTGAATATCGAGATGGTCTGATACACGAAATTAGTGACTCAGTTTGATTAGTTTATAATACATTTGATCTCGACTCTGAATAATATATCAAAATAATAATGGAGAAAACTCAAAGAGAACGAAGTTCAAATTCCACTGAGACAGATTTTTTAAATTTGTTATCGAAAACGTCCCCCACACGAGAGTTTTCGCCTGTATCGTAGAGGCAGTTTACATACCTACATAAATTGCAATGTTAACCCGGAACCTGTTTGTAGGCCATACAAAACTTGTTCTATGCAAGATTCGAACCCGCGGCTTTCAGTGCCGCAACTCATTATGCTAAGCCAATGCGCCACTAAGTCTTCTAGATAGTCTCTGAATAACGCTGTGGAGTCGATAATAACTTCTTTACCACAATCCTGGGTCCGGATTGGATCCCAGCCGAACCCAACATTTGCACAAAGCATTGTTTATTTTTTAATAGAAGCAAGTTATTTATTTTAATTGAAATAATTTAACAATTTTTAAATTAATTTGAAATCTATAGGATACACGCACTATAACGTTGCCAACGGTACGTCGACGTGTGGTTTATATTCTGTTCGCTTAGATACGGTCGGTTTTGTATCGCGACAACAAAGGTTGCCGCGTGCGAGCGTACACCCGCAGGAGAATTTGGCATTTTAAAACGAAGCGCCGCGCTGAAAGGTTTTTGTTACCTAACTTGTGTTTATTATTTATATTCGTATTTTCTTACAATAGCCATAAGAGTAAAATGGTACTTGATTTTATTCTTAGAATAGAAAAACATTTATTTAACAAACAGTAAAAAATAATAAAATGAAAGCTAAATAATAAGAGCGCCTCCGAGTGTACCGAGTCTGCTCACTAAGATAGTGTCGGTACTACCGACACTATCTTAGTGAGCAGACTATACTATGCTCACGTCATATGTTGTTTAATCCAAACAGTATTTGCTCTCTACTATTATTTGAATGAAATAAAATTGTCAACAATTTTTATAAGTCTAGCTTTAAATCAGATTTTTACATGTTTAAACCTATTATCTCTATAAATAAAATGATAGAGGGTTGCAGTTGTGTGGCATCAATGGAAAAACTACTCGATAGATTTCAATTAGGTTTTCTAAGTTTTATTTATTAGACACTTGGTCCATATCTAAAAACAATATTATGATATCTTCATTTAAAGTTATTAAAGTTTTAAGAAACAACGATTTTTATACGGGATTTTTCACACGGTCAATTGTACGTCGTTTGCTCTCACGTTACTAACCCAGATAATTTATATATTTTAGCTACAAATGGAGCAACGAATAACATTGTTTACAAAGAAATTTTGTCTTTTTGATGTTTTTTCCTTCGCACATACGAAAACTTTGTTAATATATCAAGCAACACGGACGAAGCCGCGGGTATCAGCTAGTTTGTAAATAAAATTCTGAAAAGGAATTTAATTAAACGTATACTATTCGCTAATTGTTACCTAAAATCAACTTTTATTATAAACTGAAGTGAGAAACGACCTTACAAATCAATAGCCAACTACTTGATGGTAGCCACTTACCACTGCAGTCCTTGGACTTGCAGCCAACTTCATACTAAGAAGGCTTCGGATGCGTTGTACCTCTTAACACTAAGATGGAATGCGTCACAGCCCGCAACTATACTGGCTCTCTTTACCTTACCTTACCCTTCAAACTTCGAACGATTTGCGGCAAAATTGGGTAAGACCTACTCAGATTGACTCCTAGACAAAAGGAGTCCTACAACCTAAAATATAATCGGTAATATATTATATTTGTTAATTAAGTTAGCAAACTTTACAGAGCTTGGTAAAATAAAACTTCGAATCAATTCAATCACATGGAATATAAACAATAAAATTATCTTTGCTTATGAGATTACATATTCAACAAAACAACAATATATAGGCACGAGAAACTTAAGATACAAGAATAGAATTGCACCAGTCATTGTGGTGAGAGAAGCCCAAGGAAAGACTGGGAATTATATTGAGCGACTATGAATGATTTTATCAACTTAAGTAACAACTGTGAGATTTCAATTTGGATTATATGGTATTATGTACAGGTCAATATTTGATGACGTCTTTCTGGCTTGACATAACTTTAGTTTAATATAAACTTTAAGGTTAGCGTTAACATTGGTTACAGACAATATACATAAAAGGAAGTGCCGCTACGAATATATACCATAGTTTACTTTTCATATTTATAACATATTCTTGATTATATGCAATATAATGAAGAATTCGGTGGAATGTTTAATTCATTATAAGTTAAACACAATATTATAAAAGACACTTACAACGATATCACATCATAAGTAAATAAATAAATAAATCTTGGTTGTTGTTTGATAATTCTACTCTGTGGATTTTTTCTATACATGTGATTTCTAAAATAATGATTTTGATAAATTATCCAATCTAGTTTTAAATCGGAAATGTATATGAAGTTATGAAACAACACTACTTCTTCCAAAAAAAAAATGAAAAGATTAACTTACCTCTAGAATGCAAATTGAAAATAAAAAAAAAAAACAACATAAATACTAAAATACAGTTGAATTTCATCTTCGACTACATTACCACTTACCATCAGGTGTATAGTAGAAGTCAAGCACTGACTTAGTTAAAACATCACAATCTCTTAGCCTGTCAAAACAATACATTTTTAGTGTCAAATCTAATTAGATTTTATCATTTTTAATTTTAACATTCATAGCCGCTCACGGGGAATAATCATTCTAACTACATACACTTAGGGTCTTGAATCGTATGCGCTGACTAGACGGGGGTGGAGTGCGCATCTAGACGCACTTTCAACGCTTCCCTCTCGCGTTGTACGTCCGCCAATTCGGCGCAAAGTGCGCGACACACGCGATGCAACACCGCGTTTTGCTCTTGGAGCGACTTTATGTCCGGATCCGCCTCGCAGGACGACTCCCGGGACGGTTTCCGGTACACTTCGAACGCTCCGTGCATTTTGGGCGCATCCTCCCTGTTGTAACCGAAACCTTCACCTTCGTACTCGCGCGGAGCGAACGCGTCAGGTGGGAATGTCGGTTCGCCCTCGCTCCTTTGGTTCACAAGTCGCCTGTTGGGCGGCGAGGTGGCCGAGGGCGACATCCTCGGTGGGGGCTGGGGAGGGGGTGCAGGGGCCCCCTTAAAACGGTTTAAGTCTAACGAACTGGAGCGTGTGTGGTTCCTCAACGGTCGCGGAGGAGGAGGCGGAGGCGGTTCTTTCTTAGGCGGGTACTGTAGGGATTGCGGGCCGTCTTCCGGATGGACTGAGGATTCCCGAGCGGGAGGTGGGGGTAGAACGCCGGCACTCTTAACGGGTTTCTTAGGCTGAGGTCGCTGAATGGATTTGATTTCTTGATTGTTCCCGTTCTGAGGTTCTGCGGGTTGGGAACTGAAGCGTTTCGGACTAGCGAGTTCGAAGGCGTGCGCGAAATCATCTTTTCTGGGTGACGTACTCGAACGCATATCTCCTTCCCCGTGAGTTGGAAGGGTATTAGCGTCTGGAGTGACCCTCAAAGCTACGGGATGGAAGATTTTGGGATCTCTTTCTAAAGCTGATTTGTGGAAATCAAAATTCACCGGTTTCGGACCGGGACTAGATACGCTAGATGTCGGTGAATCAACGAATTTTGTCCACTCCTTATTATTTACTTGGGGTTCTGGTTTTGGAGGCGTCAGTGACGGTGGAAGATCTTCTGGCTTCTTGGCGGGTTTACTTTCGTAAGGATCGTTCGTTTCTGGTTTGGGGGCGAAATTGAAATCGGCTGAAGTTCCAGAGCCGAACATATCGGAGCCTAAATCGACTAGATCCGTGGTGACTGCCTGCTGGGAGAAGCGGGAGTCCACTTTGGGAACCAGGCAGGCGGGGAGAACATCGGGAACGGGAATATTGTTCCGCCTTAGTACAATAAGATGCATAGCTATACTGAATTCTTCGAGGGTTAGCATTCCGTCTTTGGTGATGTCCGATAACTGCCATATTTTTCGAAGATCCGGCACCGACAGGCGTGATTTTTCAAAGAATAGTCTGTAAGAAAAAAACAACATATTGATAAAAAGTGTAACAATGACGTTATTGCGCTTAATAGAATTTAGAATTATATAAAATAATTTCTATCTGTAATTTTAAATGGTATTCATCAAGCCGTATCTAAAATAATTTCATAAAAATAAATTAAATATGAAAATAATGATTGTAAAAACTTTGTAATTTTTGGTTATTTTTCAAAGAGTAGCCAAATTTAAGTTCAAATATATAAATAATGATACTGTTATTCCAGTTTTTGAAAATACTATTCAATGAAGCTTCTACTTTTATTTGAAATTATCTCAAATTGAATGTGAAACGCTCTTCTGCGTGCGATTCAATTCACAATGTTTTTGCCGACCGATCGACCCTTGCGAATATGTGCGTGCGTATTAAAATAGTAGGCGTTAGATATTTATAAATGACAATCAGTTAAAATAATGCATTACCACGCATTTAAATTTAAAACACATAAAGTACAGCATTTTTGAGGTTTTTTTTTTAATTACATTTTTCTTCACCATTTGCCTATATTACTTATTCAGAATCTTCTCTGCAAATTTTTACAGTTATTGCAAAATAACCCTATATAATAATATACCTTATCCAAATAAATGATTGTAAATAACTAAGTTTTCCTAATAAAACAAGTTTAAAGTACATAATTATACGAAGTATTGATTATTATGTACATTCACCTGGCAGTCTGTCCAGATAACAAACCACGCTCGGGGCGTAATTGGGCAAATTGGGCTGCGTAGTGATTCGCCTGCACCTCACTGATGGCCCACACGTCGTCGCCTGCTTCCGCCTCGCCCTCCTCTTCCGACGAGTGTCTGTCCGACGACTCCTCTTCCGTGCCTGGAAATAAACACATTAATTCAAACAACTTTGAATGTTTTAGCATTATTGAAAACTTTTGCAATAAATACTATTTAAATCTGAATTTTCAAATGCCGTTTGCATAAAAAATTACTTTACAAGATCAATCTTGACAGAAGACGTAAGAAAGTGTTCTAAAAGACTACTTTTGAAATTCACTAATAATCTGATGACGTACGGAGGGCCACGTAATTTTTCTATTCTATCAAAGCTAGTGGTTGGTTACAGCGAGTTGCAGCTGCAGAGGAAATAATTGCGGAAGTATCGTTTTAAATTTGTAAGAGTTATATTACTTAATTAGAAATGATAATACATTAATTGAAGTTGAATGATATATAACTTTCAAATGAATTTGTTAGTACGATATGCGAGCCACCAACTGTAACTTAATTATACTATGCTTATAACTTTTGCGCAAGTGTAAGCAATAACTTGACAAGTTTTACAAACAAACATTAATTTTTATGTATTAAAATATTACTGGTATAGTGGTCAAAAAACGTTCTTACACATTTAAATACAAAATTGTCCTTTATGTATAAAAAATAATTCGATAGAAAAATTTAACTATTTATTTTAAAATAAATATTTGTATGTGACTGTGTGACATGAAGTATATGTAGAGAAGAATCGAGAATTAATTGATTGCCTATCGCATTCGGTCGGACGTCACGATGTTTTAAGTGGCCCATGACCATGTGTCTGGTGGAAGGTGATGAAGGAATAAGGTACCACAAGCCTTTTCTAACAGCATCATCTTAAATAATTCCTCACCACCACTAATAATTTATACGTGGTAGAGTCATGCTGCAGCTGTATTATAGTTGAGCACGAATGGGTCGGCTCGGCCGGGGAAGGACCAAGTTCTCACAGAATACTAGCGTTAAATAGCAGCTCAATGCTGCTGTGCTTCGTATGGTGAGTATGACAACCTGGATACTTACTTTTACTGGATACGAGGCATTCCATCTTAGTCCTCAGGGGCGACAACGTTTTGACAGCATTTTGAATCTTAATCGAGGACAGATATAGATTTCTATGGGCCACTGCATCCACTTACCATCAGGTGGGCTGTGTGCTCGCTTGTCATCCTTATTCTATAAAAAAACCCATCGTCTTACACAAACCCACGTAGTAGGTGATTTTTTGTTCTACATATTTTGTGCGTTTGGCAGTCGGATATTTTTTTATTGATTTTACTAGTCTGTTATAAAAAGTATTATTGTGCAGCCTGGTACTATTTTATTTAGTCTTCGAGCAAATGTTGTTCTTTATTGTAATAATTACCTTAATGATTAATGTAAGAGATCTCTTAATTTAAAATTAACCAAATATTATCTAATTAACTAATTTAATTTCCAATTCAAGTGTTCCCACAACTATTGAAAAAACCGGATGTTTTATAGGTATAGGTTTGATTAACCTATGGGAAAATATCATACAGAGTTGTTACGGCGAACTTTTGAAATAAATTCTGTATCTTTGGGTTACCGAACAACTCCCTGAGGTCTCAACGAACTGCTTGAGTCAGCTAGAGTTGCCACTCGGCTCAACAGACATCGTCTGTTGTCCGTCGCGCGTCGATCCCGATTTGGCTGATAGCCCATTTGGATTCCGATGGGAGCGTTTCACTGTAGATGCCATTATGCGCGTCCGCTTCCTGTCGGAACAAGCAGTATCTCAGGGTGGTGTAGCGTTGGCAATAAGGCTTGATATCGTCAACGCCTTTAACTCTCTACAAGGACAACATCTCTTCTCGGAGGGCAAGGCGTAATCGGGGACTACTTGCGCGACAGGTACATTTTGTACATGGGACAAGATCGTAGGGAGATCCAGAGGGAGATCAAACGTGGGGTTCCGTAGGGCTTGGTGCTGGGTCCGCTACTGTGGAACCTCAAGTATAATGCGGTTCTGTGTGTCGACCTTTCTGCTGGCGTAATTCTCGTGTACCTTCGAGGGGACCAAGGAGCTCGCCGAGCTTGGGACGGAAGTCGTCGTCGCCAAAATCCACGACTTGGGTCTAGAAATAGCGCTTCAAAAGACCGAGGCCGTATGGTTTCACAAACTACCTCGGAGCACGGAACCACCCGACTCATGTGTCTACGAGGGTGGGTCTGTAGTCAGAGTGGGGCGGTACATGAAGTACCTAGAGCTCCACCTGTACAGTCGCTGGGGCTTCGAAGAGCACTTTGAGCGCTTAGTGCCGCAGATTGAGAGGGTGGCGGGTGCTATGCACAGACTGCTGGCCAATCTAGGGGGACCAATCGCAGGGTTAGTGCGGTCTATAGACCTGGCTATAGCCCCGTATAAGGCTATAGCCTTATACGGGGCATCTGTGCTTTGGCGATATGGCGCATTCGACTCAACAAGGAGCGCTATGCCCGCAAACGTGTTATTGGCGCTATCCTGCCGGCCTTCGAACTGGATGCAGCGACGAGTAGGAAGACTTACCTACAGACTTACACAGATAATAATAATACCCAGCACGGGTGCTTCGGTGATTATCTGTGTAAGATCGGACGCGAAGCGAGAGCGAACTTCTTCCACTGATAGAACCAAGACTCCGCGTGTCATACGCCGGCGGTATGTCCAGCGTGGGAACGGGAGCGGACGATACTGGCGAGCCGGGTCGGTCGGGACCTCTCCCTGTTAGCAGTCGTGTCGGCGATGCTGAGCGGGGACTCGATGTGGAGTGCCGTAGCCACCTTCTGCGAGTCCATAATAGTCCAGAAGGAGGCTACTGAGCGGTATCGGAGGAGGGTAGATCCCACTCAGAGACGACATTATCAAGGCGTTCGTCACAGCCCTCCCTCTACCAGAAACAGGGCCTCTGGGGTTGCAGGCTTTTGGAGCGGGGGCCTCGAATGCCTAGTAATGTAACCCCCGAAGAGAACGATGGCTAGGAAGTGGTCCCGAGACATCGTGATAGCACTGCGAGGGTGCTAGGGGCAGTAAATACTGCCCCCGGGACGTGCTTCCAATAAAGCAAAACGAGAAAGCGGTCCCGGGAACGGAAACGGAGATCCCGGGAACCATCGTACACGCTGATGGAGACCACCGCGGAGTTTTAGCCGGTAGGAGTCCGACATAACAAGACGATCTTGACAAACGAGCACACAGTCCACCTAATGGTAAGTGATTGCTTTGGCCCCACTGACCTCTATATATACAAGTACGCTGGACTGGCTGGAACAAAAAACGATTAGCTAGCCGCTAGCTGACCGAGCACCCGTCCCCGTACGGGAATTCCTCGGTCGGTTCATTCGAGAAATAGAACGTCAGTCCCGTCCCGTCCCGTCCCACAGCAGCTAGCGTCGCCGCCCCCGTACGGTTGTGTTAGCTGTCCACGCTCACTGTTCCCTTACGGTGAGTGCCCTCCCGCCTCAGCTAACGCCGTCGCCCCCGTGCGGTTGTGTTACCTGTCCACGCTCACCGTCCCCGTACGGTGAGTGGCCTCTCGCCGTAGCTAGCGTCGCCGCCCCCGTGCGGTGGTGTTAGCTGTCCGCACTCACCGTCCCCGTACGGTGGGTGCGCCCTCCCGTCTCCGCTAACGCCGCCGCCTCCGTGCGGTTGTGTTAGGTGCCCGCGCTCACCGTCCACATGCGGTGAGTGCCGTCCCGCCTCCGCTATCGCCGCCGCCCCCGTGCGATTGCGTTAGCCGCCGTCCGCGCTCACCGTCTCCGTACGGTGAGTGCCTTCCCTCCCACTTCCCGCCTCCGCTAGCGCCCCCGCCTCCGTGTGGTTGTGTTAGCAAACCGTGCTCCTGTCCCCGACGGTGTGTGCCCCACGTTCCCTAAGGGGGGTCGTTTCCGACGCGGCGAAGAGGCCACTAAGGCCAGAGCCAGTCCCACCGGTGGTGTTTAGTGGGTAGGCACTTCTTTGTGAGTCCCACTTAACCACGCAGCCGGCTGCGTGGTATACTATGAGCATTCACCACCTCCCTCCCCCGCTTCCGGAAGGTTGCCTTGCATTGCATTGGGCGCAAAAAAAAACTGCCTATGCCATACAAAATGCTTATGCCGATTTGAAGAGCCCTCATTGTCCGTGCCGGGAACTAAAATTGACATAATATGCCAAAGTCTGTTGTATTATTTAAATCGTATCTCTGTATTTTGAATTTTTAAACTAAAAAATGAATTAAAGGTTCGATTATGTTTGATTTTGATCTTAGTTACATAATAAGAATTATTTTTAGTAATAACGAGAGTGTGCGTAATATGTAAAACTCGTTATCAAAAGGAAAGTGGGATAACATTCCACAGGTGAATTTGCAGTTAATTTATTAAGCAAATTAAAACTATTTGATAGTATAGGTACTTAAGAATTTGTTACTAATCTTAATATCGTAATTACCAACATGTTTGTCTTTATATTACCGAGTTTTGATAAACAAAAAATTCAATAGTGTTGTCGAGTTCTTTGTCTATAATACTTATCGATGTTCTTTTCTACCCATATCTGTTCACAACCAAAGTCGCCGACCAGAGATAATTATCAAATGTTTATTAATTAACAGGTTTCCAACTGAATCTAGACTAAAATTATGGCTAAAAAGCACAAAAATTGTGAATTGACGTCCGAAACAAAATAAAAATCTTTATTTTAAACACTTCACAGACGACTGTTTTATTGGACATGAGAAACGCACCACTTTGAAAAATTGCAGTATAGGTACTCACAATATTTTCTGGTAGTACTGGTACCAGTAAGTATAAAAGTATTAGATTATTATTTCGAATGTTTTTTTTTATTTCTTCTCTCCTTATATGCCCCCAAACTTAAGGGCCATAGCCAAGCGTAGAAAGGTCGCCTAATGATGACTTTGTGTTTACAAGAAGTAAATTTGTTAAATCTGTATAATTATTATGACCAATTTATTGTATCAAGGGAATAAATTCATATTGGAACTGCAAAATTATTAATATCCTTAGAGTTTTCGTGAGTTTAGGTGAGAAATAACTCCTCCCTGAACGGGCTCC